CCCCCCCTTGATGAATATGAAAGAGTTAACCTTCAGAAAGACCGAACTCCTAATCCGCTTGTGAAGTAGAGTTCGGAAAAGTAAAGCAATTATTTCATTGAAGGGGTGGAACCCATTTAGCAAAAATTCACTCAAACCTGTATAACGTTTGAAACTTTCAGCTGCTGGGATTCGTTTGGTGGTTAAACGTCCCGACATCGTCAAAGCTGAAACAGCAGATTAAACTAAAGTATTACGGTACATTCACAAACTAATGCCAAATTAAACGCACACTTTCAGTATTTTGTATAGTATTCCTATTGTATCGTATAGCAAGGATAACCTCGAAAGTCAATGACAGCCCGACACCGCTAAGTTCGCAGACCGTTATCAAGTCGGAAGCGAGGCATCATACTCAAAATCTGTCTTTTCACACAAGTTAATGCCGTACACACCAAACAAACCTCGAACGTTGTTCTGTGTAACGTTTATTAATAACTATTACGCAGGTCCTACAGACGATATCGGTTTTTGTCGCGACCATATGGAGAATATTGACTAGCTCATGTGCGAGCTTGAGGCCCGTAATGCGCACACCGTGGGCGACGTCTCGGCCGCACTAGCAGAGATGACCGAGGAGAAGCGACTGTTACTAAAGAAGGTGCTGGGCGAGGCGCGCGCGAGCCACGAGAAGGAATTCGAGCTTTATCATATCCAGTCCGCACTTCTCGATTCGAAGCCTTTTCTACTGACCCAGGCTCGTTTTGAGATCCGTTGCCTCTTCCGCCGCAACGGCATCTTTGACCGCGTGCGACGGAGGCTCGTGGTATAGCACCCCAGGCTGATGTAAGGGGCTTGCGAGGAATGGCACAGTATTTCTTAGATATGATACTTTGAAAAAAATCCTAACTGGATATAAGAAGACGGACTATTATTTTCCGGAAAATGAAACACCAATTTGATCTGAAATCTGATACAAAATTCAGATATCTATACGCCGTGTGCTCGTGGCAACTGCAACAGTTCTACACAGTATAGGCACCACACTACGGTAGCACTAGCAGAAAGCATGCGTTGATTTACGTATTTGAGCATTGGAACATATGATTCTCCCGGTTTTATTGCCAACGCAGCTATCTAGGGGAGATGTTTCGCTGGGATAAAGCGATGCTTCCGCCAGCACGCAGCTGTTCCTGTTGATGTCGGCCATCACAACATCCTTCGGAAGGTTTTGCAGCATCGACATTGCCATTTGACGTTAAGTATGGGGTCAATTAACCGTGACAAAGCTTCCATTTTCCTTAACAGACGGGCTCGAGTAACAAAGAATAGTATTCAGAGAATTCAGAGGTTTGGATAGAAGCAGAGATACTAGGACGGCACTGCATGCTGCCTGCAAAGATGCAGGTCAGAAAAAAGCACTTTTTAGGAGTATAGCCATTCCTGTTGGTCAAAGTTTAAAAGCAAAACTAGAGGGGATTTGGGCAGGCAGTATTGAGTAAAAGCTCCATATGATCTAGTTTATATATCGCTTTATATACTGGATCATATGGAGCTTTTACTCATGCGAAACATCCAGAAAGCCGTGATGTCTACAGTACTCAGTGAATTTTTTTTCTCCATTTCTCGCCGATATTTCAGACCAAGTCATATTTTGAAAGATGGAGAATCTTGGTCTCGGATCTTCCATCAGACTTGTTCCAAGCTGACGTGATATCGAGCTGGGGAGAGAAAAACAAACATGAGCACATTGACCTAGTAAGAAAATAAATTTCTGGGTTCTGTTTCTTTGATGCGTTTGCATGCGCCTGGCCCGCGTTGTTGTTGTAGGAGTTGTCATTTTCGATACATTAACTGGTCCGGATACGATCCCGCTTTCATACTCTTATACAACAGCGCTTTACTGATCTACGTACTAGACAGTAAAATAACTATTAACGCAAAGCGACACTATTCTCTGAAATTTATTTTCCGAGCTAAAGAAGGATCCTACCCGAGGTACCAATATACAATCTTTTAATACCTGATAATTTATATATCCGTACCTACATTAAGATATAGAGGAAATAAAGTAAAACTAGGTGAAAAAACTGTAGTTGTGGTTGTGAGAATAAAACCACCAATCACGTACCTCGCCCAGGGACGAAACGTAGCTCCACCGGAAACGGGAAGGAAAACCGCAAAACCAAAGCGCAAAATAATTGACATGGTTCGAGTCGCTTATATTGCACGAAAACAATTTAACAAAAAAGAGTTTTTTTTAGTTACAAATAACTCATTTGCCAAGGAAATCGAAGATTCCGGTGAGAATATGAGTGTATTCGTCTTCACAAACATTTGTTAGGAAATCCGTAGCCATAATTCCCTTCATAGGCGAGCTGATTGACACCCAAAACGCGCTTTCATCATCAGCGCTTTTTCTATTACCTAGTGTTTAGCCCTCCAACCAATTACAAATTGTCATCATTTGTAGATTTCCAGAATTTCTCTACGACAACTATGCCGGCGTTGTCGGCGCTTCGAGGTACCACTTCAAACATATTGTCGCCTTTCGTGTTTTAATAGTCTTTTGCAGGTACGAACGCTTCGCTTTCCGTCCTGCTATCGGTGGCAGTATTAGGTTCTCAAGTAGAACGGTTTGCGGGGCTTCAAGGTGTTTTGGCTCTGATAAGCTCGTATCTTGACTGGTCGAAGTACTGGACTCTCGAGGCTGCATCCAATGCTATTTTGCCGCATCTTGTTTACCGCTTGTCTCACAGGACAGAAGGAACTGTTCCATCGGCTTACGTGGAAGCTAGTTGTGACGCAACGCACATGTGTGCTGCCCAACAGGGCTTGTTGCAGGCGATGGCGAATCTTGATAAATACTTCCCCTCCTTAACAATCAGTGGCAATGTTACCAAAACGGCGGCATCTGCCGGCTATCGCAGGCAATCACCTGAATACTGGAGCCCGACTGTGCTTAAGAGTGCCGCCACAAGCGGTCAGCTTGGAGTGGTTTCCGTTCTTTTCTTGTGGTTTCCTCCTTTGACAGTCGAACAGTGCATCACTGTTCTGCGCATTGCCAGCTGCCGTGGCGTCGATGCTGTAACAAGATTTGTTTGGAAATTTTTCTTACAAATGGATACCACCAGATTACCCAGGATATGCTTGGCGAATTGGTATCGAGTGCATCCTTTTCCATTGCGAGGCGGATGTTATCGCACACCTCAGTACTTGCCGTTTCGCTCTCATTGGATCTCGTGGTCAAACGCGGAAGTCTGGCTTTCGTCAAGTGGGCTCATAATCAACGTTCTACAACAACTACAGATGCCATGGACTACGCTGCCACCCACTGTTATTTAAATATTGTGAAGTGGCTCCATCAACATCGGACTGAGGGTGGTCTACTGCGGCTATGGACGGTGCCGCGGGCCATGGCCATCTTTCCGTCGTGAAATGGCTCCACACCAACCGTGGTGAAGGTTGCACCGACCAAGCGTTTTTTTTCTTGTCTGCAATTAGAGGACGTTTGCGCGTTGCAAACTGGCTTTTTTGCAATCGTGACGAAGGTATTCCAGTTACTACGTTTGATCTCGTTTGTGCAAACGGGCATCTTTTAATGGCTCAGTGGCTGCATATTAATCAGGTTGGTGGCGGTACTGTAAGTACCATGGACTGGGCTGCTTCTCAAAATCACCTTAACATAGTGAAGTGGCTCCATACTACACGAACGGAGGGGTGTACTGTTGTCGCCATAAATGCTGCTGCATGCCACGGACATCTATGGGTAGTTAAGTTTCTCTCGCAACATCGCCCGGAGGAGTGTACCGTGAATGCTATCAATCATGCAGCTGGAAACGGCCACACTGACGTCATCCGCTGGGTGGTAGCAAATCGGCGTGCGGGTTATACTTCTATCGCTATGGATAATGCCGCTTAAGGCGTCTATCTTTGGCTTCTTCGCTATTTGAATACTCTGCCTGGTTCTCCGGGCTGCTCGACTGATGCAATGGATAATGCGGCAGGCGAAGGGCACTTGGATGTCGTCACGTGGATCCACCGTACTCGCCATCATCAAGAGGTATGGATACCGCGGCCTCGCGGGGAGACCTATCTATGCTTGAGTTCTTTAGACAAAATAGAGCCGAGCGATGTTCAGGTGCAGCTTTACGGATGTGTCTCGCTCGTGGAGACCTATATACCGCCAAATGGATTACTCTTCACTATGGTCAACCCTCGGATATGCTGGTGATAAACAGCTTCGCCTCACGAATTGGATGGACACTTGCCATAATTCGAGCTGAGTTTCCCCATATTCACGCACATCGCGCCTTGGTTGGGTGTCAGTCGACGGCGACGGAAGAAGCCTTCATTCATGACGAGGCAACCTACGACGATGTTTGGGTGCTTCAAAAAAATCACAAGGCCCCTTGACCCAACTACTTCAAGACTCGACAATCCTCGTGGTCAATGCTTCTGATGCACTACTCGTAAGCCCTTGCGACCATTAAAAAAGATGGATGCACCTTACGTAATTATTTTGGGATTAGTATCGCTAAGTTAAGTTGGTAATAGTCTACCCCGCAAAAGCCTAAAAGCCATCGCAATCTGATACATATGGCGAACATATTTTCTCCGTACTTTCACATATATTTTGTAACGGGGTTACACGGGTTTACACCTGGTGT